ACGTAATACAGAGATGGATATGCGTACATACATCGTACCCAGCGAGAAATAAGATAACTGTGAGATATGTCAGAGAATATCTTCGTCATGTCACTTATCCACCGCATGTTAATGACACTTCCTGAAACTACAAATACTGTTACAGTGTCATCGCAATGAAATAGCATAATGCAATCCGCCGTCGGTTATGTACATCTGTCATCACACGTAATCTGCAAAATACCGATACTCACATATGACTTCAGAATTGTAATAATAATGATTACACTGAGGGCACGTCTCTGCGACAAATCCACCTCCCGTTTAAATTTCCTTTGATTATTCGTCTCTCAACACAAGTCTCTCTCGCGATTATCGCGGAACGTTCGATATCTCGGGGGTCACTCGAAGATCTTATTATTATACATTTTTATTATTATACATTTTTACGCGTGTCGCGAATATATATGTAAATCCACGGTGTTCGTGTATAATAAACCACTAGAATATAAACGCGGAGAGTGCAATGTGCTATAATATTCTAGGAAAGGGGTTGCACTCTCCTTGGAAAACTTCTCTAGGAAAAAAAGAACTGAGCTCTTTGCGCAATGTACGCCCCGCGATAAGCCAGCGACATAAAACTGAAATTTACGGGTCTATAATTCTCTGTGAGAGAAAGTGAGAGGCCGAAGAGGCGCGTCGCGTTTGTAATCCGTTTAAAGTCGGCTCGCGACACTGTGCCAGCTCGTTCGCCACAGAAACTAACGATTTCTCTACGACAGGATTGTTAAAAAGGCAGTTAGGAGTTGTCACGAACATGCTGGTTGCGGTAGATAAACCTAAAGTGTCTCCACCGTAACCGCTGCAGGTAGCTAGAGAAAGAGGAAAACAAAGAAGAAAATACAATTATTGTGCCACGATAGGAAATCAAATGCCCCATGAAATCTTTACTTGTACAGACGTTGCAGTTACTTCGTATCAGAAAATAAATAGGCCTCGTCATTCTAATAACTAATCCTATCTCCAAAGGGAAATCATTGGGTATCCCTAGTGCATTATCCACGGCCATTCGAGAGAATCCCTGTTCTTATACATCGTTCTCGGATAGTTCTTTCATGGGATGCCTCAGCAAATTGAATCGTCCGATGATCGTACCTAGGTTAGGAAGTAGTTTGAGAAGGCGCTATCGATCGTACTGAGAACCATCGTATTCGGAGCGGAATAACTCGCCTGAGTACGATTCTAAGAAAGTTTGAAATTTTGCACGAAATTTCGATCGCTCTTATTTCTTTAAGAATACGACGTATTGCGCAGCCAGCTAAGAAATTTCGATCGAACTTTGAAAATAGTTTCCGTCGTTTTTGACTATTTTACGATCGTCTGTCCTTACCGTCGCGCCTTCGCCATGCCATTGTACACCACGTCGCACTTTGTCTGAGAATTGCCTCGTTAGTGTCGGTCATAGTCCAGCAAAATCCCTTCATCCGCTTTTCTCGCGCGAGGTCGCGAATACGTGTATCACATATACAAACTATATGTCGGACTCGCCCTCGAAAATGTGTGCGAATATAAGTCTTAGCGGAAAATTTACGAGGAAGGCAGCCGTCTGTCTCGCAAGCATTTAATTTTCAACGTCAGGTATCCCGGCGGCCGAGCCTTAAATTTAATTTCTTAAGGTAATCGATGGTTCGGGCACACCCTACGATCTGTCACACGGAGGAACGAAAGAAAAGAGACAGGATCCAGCGAGGGTGGAAGCATCGTGGCAAGGAAAAAGTGCAAGACGAAGGAGAACAAAAAAGGAAAAGAAGACGAGAGTGAATAAAAAGTAAAGTTACGTCAGACGGTCGGTGTCGTAAACAGAATAGATATTTCTTTGTATAGATATATTGAGATAAATACGTCATCAAACGTACTTTATACATTTTTAAATTTATAATATCAAATTATACCCAATTTGAGTTATTTTTACTTTTCTGTAAGTCTCGTCACTCCGCTTCTTTAATATTTTGTTAATTTAATTAAAATAATAAAGTTAAATAATTTAAATTGAGAAAATATATTGAATTTGACTCTAATTTAATTTACTATTTACTAAATGCATACATTAAATAAAAGTTATTTACTTTGAAACTAACTGAAGAAATGGATTAATTTAAATCTTGACACATGAAGAAGTAAAAATAATAAAATGTTATTTAACTCTCAAGGAATTAGGTTGTCATTGCTCCTTTGATATTTAACAGTGTAGAACAGTATATTTTTTTAAAAGAATTATTATGTATACATCTCCCTCTCTCTCTCTCTCTCTCTCTCGCTCTCTCTCTCTCTCTCTCTCTCTCTCTCTTTCTCTCTCAGAAAGTGCAAGCAGTCACGTAACCAAAATAAAACGAAGAAAGTTACAAATGAAGTAATGATGCAGACTAGAAGTAATTACAGCTAAAAATAAAATGACACGAGGCGAAGATAAACCCGAGCATTGGACGCCGACATAAAAAATGAAAGAGTATTTTATAATTAATTAGTTTGGAAAGAAGGATAATGTTTACATACATTTCAGATTTAAACGATTCGATAAAATGAAACTTGAGAATGAGATTTATATCTTGATGGCATCGAGTCTCAATTATCGGTAGCAGAAATGATCTACATGTAGCACGACATAATAGTATATGTAAGTCGTTTGAGCGATGAGACATTCTTTCAAACTTTTAAATGATAATGGAAATATTCTCGGAAGGTACTTTCTCAGAGAGAAAACAAAAAAGTAGATATAGTATGAAAGGAGAGAATGCTAGACAAAGAAGCGGGAAAGCGGTTTAGCAAACAGGATCGGTTAACAATAACTCGACGAGCAAGTTTTCATCGACTCCGTCGCGCGATCATCTATTTCCGACCGAGAAAAAACAAGAAATGTAATATCTCGCTGCGACATTTTTAATATTTCGCATCAATGTAAGTTTAATTCGACGTTAATGAGATCCAACAATTCCAGCCCGATCGAATACTTGACGGAAAGAGCGCCAATCGCGTTATTGCCAACGAGATGACTTCGATGCATAACTGCGTCCTGATTGTTGTCAATTTGTATAATTATACAATATGAATGTACTGTCGTGTGCACATGCCTATAATTTACAGAACGTGTGTTGTACGCCGTCGAATGCAGCGCGCATAGATGCAAGCTGATGCGTGACATTAATAGAGTTGCAACTCAATTGTCATTTTGCACAAAAGTCCATGGGTATGTTGTCACATGTATAAATTTGTCTGCGCGAATGTTATGTTTACAAACCTTTTTCATCGTAATACTGTGTAATTTAAAACAATATTATTATATCATATCTACAAATCTATAACAAGATAAAGACATTAATGTAACTTTCAATTTGCGTATTCCTAATTAGATTTTATCGATTCCTATCGACTAGTCTTTCAAACATAATCCCGTTCAAAATTAAATTTTCCTTCAGCATACAGAAGCCAAGCAGAAGCTGGGAGAAATAACAGAGAGGCAAATTTGAAAAACTTTACGGTCTTCATACGTAGAAAAGTCGCCACGCGCTACGGAAATTATGCGAATCCTTGAAATTTGTCGGTTCTAAAACTTTAAAGGATAATAATATCGCGTCGGAAGTTTGTCGGAGGCGAACATTGATTGTCGGCGGCACGTGCGGTATGAATAACGAAAGTATCGTCGATGTACAACGTCGTCGAGTTGCAACGATGTCAATTAATGCATCGAAATTACGTTACATCGGTATAGCTTTTACCGAGTCTCGAACGTCTCAGTGCAAAGTGGTTCGGTGAAACGCAGCACGGGCGCATCGTCGAAACAGAATTGTATATGTTTCTCGGCTAAAAGTGCATTGCGGCCGTAATGCATATGATGGAGTGTGTTAAAACGAAGGCAACTTTCCTTATGCAACCCTATGTATATATACTATTCTGTATTATTTTAACGCAATTATTTCTCGGTAAAGTAATGTTCAGTTCAAAACAATTTATTCCAAGATCTTCCCTCGATGCCATCTCTTTATTCGTTTAATAGAAATAATATAAACCATCGAGACAAAATTATAAAATGAGTATTTACTCGTCATGCTTTGATTGCGCGTAATTTGTAAAATAATTAAATATATCGAAAAAAATTTCTTTTTCACAAATTAGAAATTAGTAGAACAAAATTGAAACAGGTTCGTTAGTGGTGGTTTCATAAAAATGATCAAAGTGGAAATCGTAAAATAAAATTTTTATAAAACTATTTCCGGAAAAATCGATTATATTAATCAGAAAACTGATAATACCTTTCATAACTCGATGAATATGCATAATTTACATTAATTATCAAAGATTAAAAGCAATCAATATACTATTTGAGAAAGTAATAAATAATATTTCATGTTGCCAGAGAAATACTATATTTGTAAAAATATCAATTCTTTTTAATAAAATTTTTTTAATTAGAAATAATAAAAATATATTTTTTCACATTTGAAAAAAAAAGATAGAGAGAGAGAGAGAGAGAGAGAGAGAGAGAGAGAGAGAGAGAGAGAAAGAAAGAGTCATTGTTAAAGTAAATTTATCAAATTGGAAACGTCATTGAAAATTATATCAGTTCAAAACAGAACAGACGTTCCTATAATTTTCTGATTTTCAAATCCAATTATCTCGAAAACAAAGCTTCGTTTAAAAAAGTTTTGCTCCATTTTTTTTTGTTCTGCTTTAGAATCACTCTGGTTATCCCGCTAATAATTATCTCGGCTTGGTAGTTAACTTCGCTCGTAGAATGCAATCGCGGTAGGTACGGCCAAAGTGGCACACGAGAGTAAATAAGAAAATCACGTTGTTTCACAGCAACGTTATCAAATATAGAGGCGACAAATTGCCTATTTTTATAAGAGTTGCGAAACAGCGCGGTGGGAAATAGTCGCAGTGGAGCGTCGTAGCGCGAGCCAGGCATGCGCTTTCGTCGCAGGGTGGCGCGCGGCAGTGAAAGAGCTCGAGGGCGAAACCCACGTTTCAGTCTGTCGCGTGTATTGCTACAGTTCGTATAGTGTGCCGCTCTCCACCACCATAGTGCTCTCACCGGTGCCTCTCAGATCAGTCAGATCTCGGACGAGGAGGATAAACTCCGATGATGTCGTGATGCCGTGAGAGGAGCGCACGCGAGAGTCACGCGTACATTTCGTGACCAGGGAGGACCGGGGCGGTGGTGGTGCGCTCTGATCCCACGCGATCATCCCGCTGAGGGGGCGAGATGACGTCTCGACGGAGCGCCGCGCGACCTCGTCGCTCGTCGCGGATCGCCGCTTCTCGCGCGTAAACCCAAATTCCACTCGTGAAATTCCCGACCCGACCGCCCGCGACGTCGATATCGGATCTCGTCCGAGATCGTCCCCCTAGGCACCAAATTTTCACTCTGTGAGACCCTGTCTCCGTCAAACGACGAGATAGAGTAAAGATACGCGATACGGTCGCCCGACTTGAGAAACTCTAGTTTGTACATAGCTAAAACTCGTCCCGCGAGACAGCTTCCGCCGAAGAGAAACTTTCTTATGCGCTAATTCAGAGAGAGAGGGAGAGAGAGAGAGAGAGAGAGAGAGAGAGAGAGAGAGAGAGAAAGAGAAAGTTCCAAGATTGGAATTTAAATTCTTACGAGAGAAGAAAAATCGTCATTAACCCCGTCTGGCGCGAATCGAAGGATGCACGTGATCCTATTTAACGCTACATTCAATTAGAATATGTCGCGTCAGTCTTTAAAAAGCAAACGAGGGGAAAAGGTCGAGCACGCTGCAGCGACTACACCGCTCCGGTGGCGGCCGAGAGATGACTATACCGGTGGCGAGAGAGAGAGAACGATAAGCCTATTATCAGCCAGCTTTAAGTGAAGCGGGATTGATCGTGTAAAAATAACCGGCGCGCGGCACAAAAAAAAGAGGATCACGTGGCGGGAATGCGCGCAAGGTGCACTTTGCGGCGGCGACTATATCAGTGCGCGGTACGCGATCGTCAAGAAGACCGTCCGTGAAACCCCGTGGGTGACTTCCGGTTCGGGAAGGGAGTTCCGCGTGAGCCGCGTGCCTCGCTCGCCGCTCCGGAAATGCTCGCGGGGATCGTCTTATTGTTAGTGTCGGGTGATGACGATTGGCGAGCGAATTGTCCGTAACAAGATTAGATGATGACGGATTCCCCGACACCATCGACCAGCAGACATCACGACGACAAATGCGACAAACCCGAGAGATCTGATAAAACGGTGTTACTGGTGAGAGAATCTAGACTCACGCGAATCGCAAACAGTCCCGGACGACTATGAAATTACCTTTCTCAAGTCGATATAACTTTAACGAGCTTTCGTTGTAATCCACTTGCGACCATTTTTCACGTCATCGTAACAAGATCTTTAATCTGATAGCAGCTTCCTTGATTCATTTTTTAAAAGTCCTTTTTGCTGCCGCTCCATTACTTTTCCATTACTTTTCACTTTTTACAGAATACACATGCAAATCATTGATGCTAAGGTACTGTGAAATCCTCACAGAATAATAATGCGTAGAATATGACGATTTGTTCTCTCTAAAATCTTTAGAGTGGAATCTAATTCTAAAGAATGATAAAAGTTGGTATTCATAATCCGTTCTTAATTAATTTTAATACTTTTAATACTAAGTAATGTCTTTTATGCTAATACGGCTCTCTGACTATTTCCTAAGACTTGTATTTAAGGTTTTAAATATAAAATCCGACTACAAATACAAGTCAAAAAGAGATAATTGAGCCCCAATCTTGAAAAAGGGTGGCTCAATTTTTAAGAGTGAGATTTCACTTTTTAGAATGACACTTAGAGTTACACTATTATATCTATAGTGTCAAATTTAACTTATCGCGAATCGCCACTGCTTCTACTAAATATATCGTTATTTTTTACCAAAAGGATAATTAAATTTGACACTATATTGTATCAATTTGACACTATAATAATAATTAAATTAATTAAATTAATAAATTGATACTGTATAACGATATATTTAGTAGGAGCAGTGGTGACTTACGTTAAGTTAAATTTGACACTATAGATTTAACAGTGTAGATTCCATTTCAAAAATTTCGGAGAGTACAGGTAATTATGAGATGAGGAATGATTTATAGCGCAGTGTTATTTTTTAATTTTCGAGAGCTCCGCATACCTCTCTTGGGACTATTACGTCGTTAGTAATTATTCGCGACGCAATCGATTCGTAAATTATCGATGATACAGGCCATTATCTGTCACTGTCAATTATTTAATAATGGCTCGACCAAATGTCGAATTATGTGACGAGGCGTTATGCAAACATATCATTTTCGATATTTGGACAGGCGTGTGGACGAGAAATTGTTCAACGAGAGAAATATAATAATAGCGAAAGTGCAGGCGAGAGAAACGTTTATTGCTACGTTGAAGCGCGCGTATATCTGGCATTTCCGCCACGTCGTATAGGATAATCGATGGAGCTTGATCATAGTTTCATTTTTCGTGCGTTTCAGCAAATCCAGGACATAAACAGTCAAGTAGCGCAGTTCCGAGATTTACTTATTAATATCGGACAGCCGCGCGACTGTCCGGAGCTGCGCGAAAAAATACGGAAGCTGCGTCGCAACTGCGTGGAGGCTTGCAAGAGTACAGCTCAATTAGTCCTGCCGCATGTGCAAAGGTGAGTTTAAATCTAAAGACCTTAGCTCGCAAAGATTTCCTCAAAGATCTCTGGGGTGGGAATTTTAATATTTAAACGCTTAATAGTAAAAATTATATTGGATAATGCTTGTTTTTATTAATTGGAGTTTTGATAGATCAGAAAGTGAAGTACAAATCAGACTTATTATAGTTACACTTATTAAAGTCATCGTTCTAATCGAGATAATCAAGTATTTAATTAAGATAATTAGAATTCTAATTGATATGATATATGATCAAAATTTATTTTGTATGTATTTCTTGTTGGCACAATCAAAACATTTTTCTCAGTGTATTATCCTGCACTTTATTCGAATTTTTTTTCAAGAACGTATCGATGTTTGTTAGTGCAATCTAGGTGACAAACATGAAGATTTCCCAAAAGATCTTATAGAAATCTAAATGCATAATAATAGAAACTATATTGGAAAACAATTCTTGTTGCGTTAATTGGAATTGTGATGGATCAAACACTTGTAGTTAAATGTATCAAACATTTTAGCCAAAATGACCAGAAATTCAATTATCATAATTAGATTCTGATTGATATTATTATATAATTTGTTCGTACTTCTCATTGGCGTAACTTAACCAAAATTTTTCTCGGTGTAATATCCTGCATTTTGTTCGAATTTCTTCGAAAACAATCTACGGACTACGATACGTTAATGTATGTTTAAAGACAAATTTAAATCGCAGAAGTTTCTTCAAAAATTCTCGTGGAAATTAAAAAATCCGAAGGTATAACAGTAAAAATTGCACTGGAAAATATTCTTGTTGCATTAATTGAAATTCTGATATAGATTGAATCAGAAAAATATTAGACATTTCTAGTTAAATTCATCAAACATTCTAGTCGAGATGACCAGAAATTCAATTACAATAATTACAAATCTGATCGATATAAATATTCATTTGTACTTCTTATTGGTCAATTAAAACATTTTTCTCAGTAATATCCTATTAGATTAGTAGGATAGTGTAATATCCTACTAATTTTATTCAAATTTTTCTTCGAAAACAATTTATGTTCTATGATACATTAATGCAATTTAAAGACAATCCCAAATCACAGAGATTTTCTCAAAGTTCTCTGTGGAAGTTTAAAAATCCAAAGACATAAAAACCACACAGAACAAATATTCTCGTTATATTAATTGAAATTCTGATAGATTCAATCAGAAAAGTACAAATTAGATATTTCTAATTAAATCCATTTAATTATTCTAGTCGAAATGACTAGAAATTCAATTACAATAACTAAAATTCTGATTGATATGATCATTCATTTTGTTTGAAAGTACTTCTTGTTGTTGCAATCAAAATATTTTTCTCAATAGAATATTCTGTTTTATTTGAATTATTCTTCGAGAACAATATCTACTATACGTTAAAGCATGTACTTACAGTTCAGTTCGATATTTGTAGTTTAGTACTAATATATAGGTATAGATGTATACGAACGCAGAGTACATTATTCTAAGTTGCCTTTAAACTATTCGTGCTCGATCAGTTAAGCTATTCGGCAGACAAACTACTCATCTCACAATGGTGTAACGAGAAAGTGCTCTTGATCGTTTTCTTCGCGGCTCCTTCCGCGTATTTTCGTAAAGGCTGAGACTCTATTTCAGCAACTTTCTGGCAATGGTAACGAAGACAGTCTTTACTCTATGTGATGGTTGTGCAGAAGCGACGTTTCTTTGCGCGATAAAGGAAAGGAGCGAATGTAAACCGCGGAATTAACGAGGACGTCGCATATAGGACAAGATTCCATCATCCTAAACTCTGGATACAAGTTGGTTCACAACGATGACAGCAACCGAGAGAGAGAGAGAGAGAACTTTTTCGCGATTTCTTACATTGCTTCCGTCAGTCCCTCGTACGTTTTGCACAATGCAGGTCACAGAGAAACGACGGACGACGACCGAACGTTCGAAGAATCATGGTCGTGAGAAAAACGTCATGTGCCGTCGCCGCTGCCGAGCACTTCCAATAACTTTCATTCCTTAAGTTTGCTGGGCGCGCCAGGTAGTGCTCTTTATCACTAGTTTACGTAAGATTTCTTCCGGCTGAGACACTCACGATTGACTTTGCAATTCACTTCTTGACAAAAAGAAGTTCTAACAAAAATCTAATAAAGCGTACTTTCATAACGCAATTTTAATCAATTGATTTAATCACTTTGTTTACTCGCCGTACGACTTTATTATGATTACGTATATTTAGTATTTTCAATTCAACGATGTGCTTATCATTTAATAATACAACGCGAAACAATATAATAATAAAACATATTTTGAAATACACATATACATACGCAGAAAGAAAAAAAAAGATTTATCGACGTAACAGTATATTTTATGTTACTGCGGAAAATATTGTTAGTTACCATTCAGGTCATAAAAAAGATTTATCGAGAATACTGAAAATGTGCTGTTTACTGAAAATGATTCGGCTGAATCTGCCGAATCTGGATCTACAAATTACTTCATTATTATTAATAACAAATTATTTCATTACGAAATGTATTTCAAAGATAAACGGTTTCACTTTAACAGAACATTCATGCGAGAGATCTTGCAAACACACAAAACAAGTCCCACTGCAATATCGAATAATTGGTCATGGTAGAGAAGTTTGATTGCTTCCGCATCGAATATGCGATAGTTGCAGTTTTGCCAGAGCAGGTGGAAGTCTCCTTTCTCTTTGCGTTAAGCTCAAGCTCGTTGGAAATTAGAAAACATGTTTTCGAACTACCCGTCCATCTTAATTTTAGGCATTACCGCGACGACATGGTCGCGAAAGAAAATAACTGACAGAAATGCTGACAACCATGATGACGTACATAACGCGGAGATTATTTACATAAAGTCAAATATACGTTTATAACATGTTATATGTTCGTATTATATGTTGGAGTAAAGCTGTGCTTCCGTCGATCTCGCTTGATCCAGGTCGCCATAGCGCTCGCTTGCGGAAAGTTTTCCACTCCCGAGAGCCGGAGCTTACCTGACCGATCAAATATTAATGCCGGAGGATTATTGCCTCCAGTTGCGTTTGTTTGTTACTTGCACATAGCGACCGTTACTCCCGCATGAGAATGCGGCAAAAGTTTGACGTATAGTATGCGCGGCGAAATACAATTATCGCCAGAATTAAACCGTCGACCCCGTCGACTCGAGATCGTGGCGCTCCGATTCGCTCTTGAAATTCTCCTGGACTCGAGTGACAACTAGACAGACGTCGGCTATTGCCAAGCCACCAAATAACATTGAATGGACGAATGGCCGATAAAATGAAAACAGTGCTTGAAAGCGTAATAATTCTCGAGCGTGTACGTTTTCCATGTAAAATGAAAAATGGTGAAAATTGCATGAAACATGGGAGACAAAGCAAGAATTTGAAATAAAACGGGAAGAGAATTTCATAGAATTCCGAAAAAGTCGAGATGACACGCGACACATGAGCGTTGTCCTTGCCACGGAACAATCTCTTGTCAATAATTTAATCGCCGCAACCGGAGGTGTACTGTACAATTTTGAATATCCATATTTCAGCGTGTGGGAGAGTTACCAGGCCGCTTTTGCAATTCGAAAAGCCGGGATTTCTCGTAATTCCTAGATTAACGTAGGCGTACCCGGTGGGCTGGTTGTTGATCACAAAAAAAAGCGAATAAAATGTTGGTGTGTATTTTGCATAATCGATGCACGGGCTGGTTGCATGTTTCGCAGCGATATGGCGCACGAAATGTCCGCGCGAGGACATAAATCGAGCGAACGTATGTATGTGTATATATATATATATATATA